TGTTCTCTGTCTCGTCATTGAAGAGTAGACTTTCTGTCAAAGATTTGCAGGGAAGAATTACTATTAGTGATTAAAAGCTTGTTACTTATTGTCATAGCCAACGAAAACGATAATGGTTAGCAGCCATTGAAAAAGAAGAATCCATATCCAAACCCGGACTGCATTCACAAAAAGTATTGTTCAATATATATGTTAAAAAAAAAAATTCAGCTTTGGTTAATCACGCATGCGTATTTGTTCTTACACGACAATGCATGATCACACTTTAAAAACGATTTGATTAAATGATCAAGCATTAAAAGCCATATAATCACATTTTATTATATGATCACACATTAAAAACCATATGATCACATTTGATTACATGATCACACATCAAAAAGCATACGATCACATTTGATTACATGATCACACATCAAAAAGCATATGATCACATTTGATTGCATGATCACGCATTAAAAACCATATGATCACATTTGATTACATAAACACACATCAAAAGCCATATGATCACATTTGATTACATGATCACACTTTAAAAAAACATATGATCACATTTGATTACATGATCACGTATTAAAAACCATATGTCATATTTGATTATATTATCACCCATTAAAAACCATATGATCACATTTTTCGTTACATGATCACATATCAAAAACTATTTCATCACATTTGATTACATGATCACATATTAAAAACCATTTGAAACCATTTCGAAAATATCCGACTGGAAGATCCTGCAAATTGGTATATCTTAATAAAAAAGAACCATTTTTTTCGGCAGAAATAAGCTTCGAATGTTAGAAAATGGGTCAAGCTGAGAGCATTTCAGTATATATAGATAGATGGTTAAAACTGGATTTTGAGTAATGGTGTCGCTTGATTGAAATACAAATATTGGATAGTGTAGACGTGGCTTTTGAATCCTGATAGAGACCTCTCCTATATGGCAGTGAATGCTGGACACTCCTCACAAAAAGACAAAATTTATTAAGCTATACAAAGGACAGTAAATTGTGAGGAGCCATGAACGCCAAAGTTCTAAATGGATGCAGCACAAAGATGAAAAAGAAGAGACATTATTTTGTGAAGATGCGACAAAGTTGGGCGCAGAAAGAAAGAAAGAAAGAAAAAGAGAAAAAAAGAAAGAAAAAAGAGAGAAAGAAAGAAAGAAAGAAAAAAAAAAAGAAAGAAAGAAAGAAAGAAAGAAAGAAAGAAAAAAGAAAGAAAGAAAGAAAGAAAGAAAAAGAGAAAAAGAGAAAGAAAAAAAGAGAAAGAAAGAAAGAAAGAAAAAAGAAAGAAGGAAGGAAATAAATAAATAAATAAATAAATAAAGTGAATGAATGAATTCATGGATTTTATTTTATTTATTTTTATTTTATTTTTATTTTTTAATTTTTTAAAATCACTAATTCATTCCTATTTTTTGCCCGGCCTGGTTGTAGAAAGTAAGGGATTCCTACGATTTAGCATATGTACCTACATTTGTGTGTGCAATTTTATTCTTATTTTTGCACGACGAAAAATTACTAAAAAGAACCTGTTATTATTTTCCTTTTGCCGAAACAATGTTTTTACTTTCCTAGGAGGAGGCTCCCGCGTGGGCAGTCACGTGTTCTTCTTCATAGTTACGCTAAGCAGTTCTTGAAGTGGTCTCATCGGGAAGTCTCTCTTTATCTAGCCCCATATGATGAACTGGGTCAGATCTTGCGATAACACAGCTTAGATTCCCGTTCTTATTTCGCAATCTTTTGCATGAAGAATGACATCTCAGAAGTAAATGGAAACCAGCACAGAAAATCGACTCATAAAAAAAGAAACGATAAACGGTAGAACGAATTTATTAATAAATAAATAAAAAAAATCGTCTGTGTAACTGTTTAGCAAATAATTTTTTTTTAAAAGCGCATGAGGGGAGACTTTAAACTGAGATATTAAAACTTTACTTGATGCAATATATATATATATATATATATATATGCATATAAAAAGTATATATATATATATATATATATATATATATATATATATATATATATATATATATATATATATGTTCGAACCTAAAATGACTCGGGACTTACACTAAATTAAAGCTCACATTTACAAAGAGCTTCTGTTTGTGAATGACGCCGAGTCAACGTTTTAGCAGGCGACGCCCTCCTCTGCTAAGACCACAGAGCTTTTCGGCTCAGAAATCAGTTTGGAGAAAACTGCCATTCTCCATCAGTGTGCATCACGATAGGAATGTCACTTATCTTTCATCTGCTTCAATCATTTTTTTTATCTACCGTATCCTTTCACGACGTGGGCGATCACGGTTTTTCCCCCTATAAACATTTTTGTGGGTACACGTGCTTGAGTATATGTATATATATATATATATATATATATATCACCAGCTTTTTTCTCAGTTGTGGAGAAGCGCTCTCAATGTGAGGACTGTCGGAATTTTGTGTCGAAGTGTTAAGATTGAGTTTTGCATTAGAGTTGGAGTTTACATTTGCCAGACAAGATGAACATAGAAAAATACATTTTTATGTATGCATCTATAATATAGAACTTAGATTTATAAGTGTAGCTAATGACAGATTCGGAGACTTAGATCTAAGAATGTTTTCAATAATTTTACAATGTAAAGTAGAGAGCACTGACAAAATTTGTATGCGAACAATACTGAACAGGTTTTAGCCAATAGTCAGCGGGGATCAGGGATTGAGAACGCTATATAATAACAGCTTTTTCTCAGTTGTGGGGAAGTACTCATGTCGTGCGGAGGTTTGCTTTACTTAGAAAACCCATAAACCTCATATATATATATTTTCTTAAACAGTGAATTTAATAACAACCGGCCTAGATTGAGAAGTCTTACTAAAGAAAAATTATGCCTTCGATAGGAATTGAACTTGCGTCCTTTTATTTTACCATTAGGAATCCACTTTTTTTTAGATAAGGCGTGCCTCTACCGGTTTGGTCACTTTATGACTTTATAGGAAATAATGTCAGATAAGATATCTTTTCAAAAATTACTGTTTTTTATGTACTGGAGTCTCAAGCTGAAGCTTGTTAGATATTGAATTGCAGAAGTCCTGACTGGAAATATACTTTCTCTAAAGAGGTAATTCAGACATTGTTTTGTTAAGCTGGTCTCCGTGGCTAAAAGAGAAAATGAAAATATTGACGAGATAAAAAAAAATGCCTTAAGAATGTCACAAAGAGCTAATATATAAAACAAAGAAATACATGAAAATTTATTTCTCAGTTTATTTTTAATGATGAAGGATGATTGGAGAGGCCTGAAGGCTGGGTTAGAAGTTGGATCTGTCATTGAAACAGTCTGTCAACATGGCTTAGAAGACAACACGGTAAGATGGAGTGATTTTGGTCAATTATTGTATGCAAATATGTAATTATTGCATTTTTTAAAGCATATCACTCCAAACAAAGCCAGAGTGCTACTATCTCGCAAGGGGTTACAGAGAGTGAGAGCAAGAGTAAAGAGGGTTGTTTGGGAAAAGGACAAAGAGAAGTACGGGGATCAAAGGTCAAGGCATCAGAAGATGTCGATTGACATTACATTTGAATATTTGAAGATTATAGCTCTCAGGGAAGCAAATAAGAGGAAGAGAGTTCCACTGACGGGAAGTGCAAGATAAAAAGCGGTTGGAGTAGAAGAGACGACTATATTTAACAGTTTCGACAGTGAAAATGTGGGAGCGAGATGCCAACCTAGTAACTCGCTTAAATTCATGCAGTTAGGAACCATGGAAAATAGCTCGACAAACCAGTTGCTATGAAAATACTTGTAGAAAAGACAGAGGGAAGCCACAGCACGTCTGTGAGAGAATGACTGTAGACGAGATGCTATGTTATGATCTATCACATTGCATATCCGTTTCTGGATTTTGTCGAGGACCTCGAGATGAACAGCAGGGGCACCAGACCATATATGGCAGCACTATTCAATGCAAGGACGAATGGTTGATTTGAAGGATGGATTCAGGCGAGAAAAACTTTCTGGCCCGACACAATGAACAAACTTCCCTTACGGTAGATGAAGCTATTGATTCAATGTAGTTGTTCCACCTCAGGTCAATGGAAAGCGTGAGACCAAGCAGGCGCAGAGATGCGCTCTCGTTGAGTTGAGCATCAGCCATTTTGATGGGAGGCTGGGAGGGTCCTTTATGGTGGGTAAATGAGAGCAGTTTCGTTTTGGAGGCATTAAAGTTTACAAGCCATTTCCTGCCCCAGTCAACCACAGATTGGAGGTCCTTTTCGAGACCAACGGCCAGGTTAGTTTTGTCAGCGATACCAGAGTTGCTATTGAGGCAGTAGTAAATAGTAGTGTCATCTGCATAGATGTCTACTTGGGATGCCATCAAGAAGATCTTTGATGAAGATCAGAAACAGTGTAGGGCCCAGGATAGAGCCTTGGGGAACACCAGAGTTCGTATGAATGGAAATAGAGGAGAACCCGATTAGGACGACCTTCATTTCACCGTTTGATAGGAAGTTTATTATTTAAGATAATGTTTCTATACTGAGCTTCACCTAAGGCGCAAGAAAAACTCGTTGTAGAAAGTTACTGAATGTAACAGGAAGTAGAAGGAAATTTAAAAAGAGAGTTAAAATGATAGAGTAATAAGCTGGAAACCTCGATTGACCAACAAGCGAATTTAAACAGAATGAAAATCGGCTATTAATTGTGTGATTTGTTTTTTACGGTTTATCAACCCTTTTCTGGTCATTTAAAGCCAGAAGATATTTTTTATACTGTAAGAATCTCTTTTCATTTTTTTCTTTGTTTTTTTTTTGTGGAGAGGTTTAGATAATAATGATTTAATGATACAAGCAGGGAGGAAGAGAAGTTGAGTCATATCTTTACCAAGGGTATTTGTGCGTAAGTGAATATAACGAACCCAACCAGAATTGGAACTCGCCTCTCCGATTAAAAATTCCGAGCAATTATCCATTACACCACCTACACATCCAAGCTTACAGCACTTGGTATTCCTAAGCGGTCACCCACATAGGTACTGACCAACATCGACGTTGCTTAACTTTGGTGATCATACGGGAACCGGTATTTCAACGTTATATGGTCGCACGCCATTGAAAAATGGTTAAATATCAACACGAAGACAACGAGGCCTTGACCTTAAAGTAAACATCACAAAAAGAAACATGTTGGGCGAAACTGATTTTTCAGTACTTTTTATGTTTAAATTTATGAATGCTAAGCTACATTGGATTGACATTATGGTTGGATTATAGATTTGAGTTTTCAAGAAAATGGTCAGCTAAAAGACAGCAACAGATGGATTAACGTTTAAGGGTACAGTATTTCAGACAGTAAAATTAACTCGCTTCAACGATATCTAGATAAACACAGATCATTTTCGGATTAGTACTGATCACAACGAAGAATTATTGGACTAAATTCATACGAGTTCATGGTTCTTCACATTTTGTAAAGTTAACTATTGTTCATCTTGCAAAAACAAACAAAAAAAAACCTTTAAAGACACCAAATTGAATGGATCTCAGTTAATCTATATCTATAAATGTGTGTGTATCTATGTATGTGTGTATGTTATTGGATGTTGTTTATGCATTTCCATCTTTCATCCGATTTCGACGAAATTTTTTTTGTTTGACAGATAATTCTTCAGTGCCAATTTAGAGTCCAAATTGTTGGCGACAATGGCTCTCCACTATTTCCTGTTCATTATAACTCTCAGCAACGTTTTACTATTTACTATATGTTCTTGGATATATATCTTTCATAAAAAGTTTAATACAAATTAATAGTTTAAATTATTACAATAATATTATTTATTATTATACAGTTCCTTTTCAGGGCCATCCCCCCGCCATTCAAATTGCCCCCCCCCCAATTTGGGAATATGCCTCAGTTGTACCCTATTGTTGTTACTAATATTAATTCTCGGGTGAGCAGACTTTAAACTGCTCCAAGTGAACGGCAAAAATTCCCAGTAATGATAGACCCGGTCAAAGACGGGTTATGCTGCTAGTGTGGATATAAATCCAACTGATCCATCGTTAGAATAGATGTAGATATAAATGCAAAACAATATTCAATCAAATATCTTTGGGAAGCGATAAAAATGTTATTAAAGTTGATAGTGTAGAAAAAATTAACAAAATCAATGGTTGAAATAATAATGAAGGGTCTACAGTGTCAAAAAGTTCATATTCTAATGTAAAATAATTATTTATTCAGTTATAGAGGACATTTCTAATGGTAATGATAATATTAGCTGTTTTCCTTATAAGGAAACACTCGACATTCATTGACCGAACAGCCACTAATTAATTGTTAGTTGGAATTTTTAAAAACAGATTTCTCAAGTCCTGTAGCTGTTATAGCTCTTTACAATAGTAATAGGAGTTTCCTTCCTAACCTTTGGTTTGAAGTAGTGGGGAATATCATTGTTTTCTCTTCGACGTCCATATCTATTTCATCTGTTGTTACTGTTGAAAGTGGTTAAGTGAGGTGATTTTTATTATTTGGTACAGTTCTTTGTTAGTGATTCTGTAGCGTCAGCTGACAAGGTTTGAAGAAGTGCGGTTTTCGTCAAGATCCACAGACTTCACTCGCTCAAAGGCATTTTTAATCAGCGAGGAAGCGGTTGTAAACAGCTGAAAGTGGAGATATTTTTGGTTAATCGAATATATGTCACTGTGACTTATATCTTTCGCATTTATTCACAAATAAATACTTACGTTGCACTTAATTGGTTTGTATAATGAAACAATTTATTATCAATATTCTTAATAGGGAAAGATATTTTAAGTTGAAATTTCTTTTATAAATATAGATATATAAATATATATGTAGATATTCAAGCCGTATAATTCGCCATCGACTGGGTGTTTCATTACTGGGAATTTTCGCTGTTCATTTGGAGCAGTTTAAGTTTAACGTCAGCCCACTCGAAAATCAATATTAGTAAAAACAATTGGGTGCAAGTGAAGCACATACCCAAATAGGGGGGGTTAACAATTTGAATGGCGGGTGGCCCTGAAAAGATGCGTTTTTTGCGTTCGCAATCCATCGACCCTCATAATGATAATAATATACGATAATTTTTATTTACAATATAATTATTTTTATAATTCTAATAATCTTTTGCGTTAGATTTCAACTCTCTAAATTAATTGAACGCTGTTTTTTTTACTGACATTAAATTTTGTCTATGATTTTTGCGCGAAGTGTAAAAAAATCAGATTTTTCGATTTTTCACCTTGAAGGTTGTAATTTTTTCCAGCCAATTTGGACTCAAAACCGGCACAGAATAATTATCCATCAAAAAAAAAAAAAATTCGAAATCGGATGAAAACTGTGGTAACGCTTAAACAACATCCGATCACACACATACACACTTTGAGAATTATAGATATAGATAAATATAGCGATATTTCTAAGCTCGACTTAGATATGGCACAAGGCTGAAAGTATGGGGCACTCAGTGAGAATCGAATTCACTACTCAGTCGTAAATTTACTAGCGAGACAAGCTGGCTAACCATTACACCGCCTAGAAGTGCCCTACACTTCCTAGAATTGCCCTACACCGCCTAAAATTGCCCTACACCGCCTAGAATTGCCCTACACCTCACAGAAGTGCCTAAAGATATATATATCGAACTCAAGATAAGTAAAAAGTTCAAAAGAGCAAAAAGCACAGGGTTTCCTAGAAATCATGCAGGTATTTAAAAATCGAGTAATTTCAACATCTTTTCATTAATCAAAAATAGTTTTATGTAGAATGGAAATTCAGTCATTGAAAACATATTTCCATTTAATGAAAAAAGTGAAAAAAAATACAACATAAATATCTTCTATATTTTTACTTTTTTATAAAAAATGTCAATTCCCCCCAAACAAGGTAATAATGCCACTAAGACGTAAAGGGCTACTGGAAGTGAAAGAAAATGGGAAGGAACCGGAAACCCAGTCCTAAAAAAGAAACAAAACATAAACCTCTACTCCTGTTCAGGGTGAACCCAAATACATTCACTCTTTTGATAGCATTCACCACAAGAGTGGTTAATAATACCTCTGGTTGAAGTAATTAACTGGTTGAAGTAATATATTAATAATACCTCTGGTTGAAGCCCTTGATATTCTGTTCTAATGTTATCTTTGAATTATTGAATTATCTGCCAGTTTATTCATGTATACACGTAAATTAATGTATCCTCTTAAAAATGATTAGGGGAAAACTGATCAGGAGAATGTGGTGGCCATAAATTTTTCGACCATGTATAAACCTTAATGAAACCCCATCTCAGGTTTGTTCTATTCTGCTGGATACAAAAAAAAAATTAATTATGGCATGATACTGCTTGCTAGCGATTGTATTTAAATTCATCTTCCTCTTCCAAAAAATATAATTCCACAATTTTGTTTCTTTGTTCAATTGTGAATTTTTCCATGGGAAATTTCCTTAAGTTAATCGAGGTTCTGAAAAAAAAAGAAAGAAAAAAGTATTAAAAATCTGATATTATAACATTTTTAAATACCTATGTAATTTCTGAATGGACATAGCATTTCAATAAATCTGTCTATAACCCAGATCGATATCGATCGGTCTGTGTTCTAGACAAAAACCTACGCGTTTTGGAACATCCGAAAATAAATCATTTTTAGCGTCTCCAATATAAGCAACCAATTCTTTGAAAAAAAAAAAGCCAGACGACGAATCATTAAAAATAAACGTTGCTCGTGTATAAATAATAATATTTCCAAAGATTAGCTTTCTTATGTTTTACCTGTATGTCAAGACCTTACCGAAAAGTGATGCTTATCTCGCAAGCTGTTGCCTTATCAGGGGAGCAGTGTTGTCGGATCAAACGGTTTAAGTCATTTTTTATTCAGCAAGCAGCCTTTGCTTTATAATTCCATCTTTCCTCATTTATGTTCATGATCGTTATCATTTCTGATCAATTTTTACAATGTTTATTTGGTCTGTAGAATTCTTACAGAGAATTTCAATAGCTTGTTTCTTTACTCATAGACTCAAATATATACTCGTATATATAAGAGAACAAACTAAAAAAAATACTAACAGGAAATGGCTAATGAATTGACCGAAACGCTTGGGAGAATGACTGCTTTAGGACAGCTTCTGTACACATACTAAACTGTAAGAAGGCTAGAAAAACGAAATAAAAATACTTATAAAATTTTTCTTGTTCGTCACGTTCAATAAAACATGTATAAAAGAAGAATTGCTATATATATATATATATATATATATATATATATATATATATATATATATATATATATGAAAATTTGAATGCGTTTGACTAAATTGTTTCAGTTTATTGTTGAACAGTATATATATATATATATATATATATTGTTGTGGTGTCCTCCCTCTAAAGTGTCTATGTTGGACTCTTCCGCCTACTATAAGATTAGTAGGAGAGAAGGCCTTAGGGGAACAATCGAATAGATTGAATCCTGGGTCAACCGACACACACTCACTAGCCGTGTAATACTTTACTGTTGTACTTACTTTTTAATACAGTGTAACTCGGATATAAGAGACCCGGATATAAGAGAAACCCGGATATAAGAGAAACCCCGGATATAAGAGAGATTTTCTCTGGTCCCAAATTAGAGCCTGTGTTAATGTATATAAATTAGACCAAAACCGGATATAAGAGAAACCCGGATATAAGAGACTTCTTCACCGGTCCCGACAACTCTCTTATATCCGGGTTACACTGTATATGATATATCTGTAATACTTGTTTTGTTATTTCTTTAACCATTTACTTGGTCACAACATATTGGACACCGCAACAATATATATATATATATATATATATATATATATATATATCTTCCCCGTTTTGAATAAACATCCCACTTCTATTCCCCACCCCCATTTTATTCCTTCGTCTTTTTTTTCTTCCTTCCCCAATTCTGAATCTACATATTTAAGCATAATTTATGCTCAGATAAATTTGTTGCGCCTGGTAAAATTTTGAATCCATTTTTTGTGAAAATGTTTGGTCTGATGATTTGAAACCGAAGGATCGTTTTTAATGAAATAAAACACTACCATGAA